TTTATATATAAATATGTTTATATGTATGTACGTTTGTTTCGTTTTCATGCATGCACGTATGATGTATTTATGTATGTATTTACGTATGTACATATTATTGTATGTATGCATGTAGGGTTGTTCTTAAATTTGGTGGAGTTTGGCTTTAGTATAGTTCCTAGGTAACGCGGACCATCAAAGTTATATTCTGAATAAACCAAGGTTTAAGTTGATAAATGTATATGCTCTATGGATTTATAGTGCAAGCCCATCCACGATTCCGTCGTTCAAAATAACGGCTGCCACCTGTGTGTGTCATGGAAAGTAAAGTGAACGGCGCGCACCTCTGCTATTAGTGATTGCAGGGTTTAGGGTTTAAGCTACATTACATGCCGTATTCGATGCGAATTGGATATAGTGTTACGTAGCGGGGTACCACAGGTATTAGGTCTGCCGGTCCCATCAACTTCGAATAGGTTTGGATGTACCAATAAGCTTCGATGCAAAATAAAAAGTAACTCAGAGTCGGCTTAACAGGCCAATTGTTCGAAACATTTGAGGCTAGCGACACTTCTGTGCACAAACACATATGACAGACTGTCATTTGTAGTCTTATTTGACACTTCAGTGCACATACACATATGACAGACGGTCCCTGGGTGTCTTATTTGAGTACTCACATGATACAGTAGGAGTGTTTCGTATCTTCTGCGCGATTGATGTCTCTGCCTACAAACATCTATTTGAAGTTCATACGTTCAACCACTGCCACACATCCACAATTGATCCACGCCGTGGTATAAATTGGTATTACAAATCGCGCTCCAGTCCTGAGCCGGGCGTACTTTCATCTAAATGTGCGTTTGAATATCATTCATGCTGTGATCTCCCCCACATACTTGTTTATTCTCATACCTACAAGTTGGCCATCGTACTATTTCAGTACAATCTTACTTCTCTCCTATTTCTCTCGCACATACTCTCTGTTTGACTCCGATCTTACCCTTTCCCCCCATATATCTTCCACACATACAACGCATCTCAGGCAACACGGTACTCGACGTACTGTTGGATAAGTACCGTTCTATTGGCGACTTTGACCGTGCGCTTGGATCGCCAGTACTCCCCAAACCAGACAAGGAGCTCATAGAGATGTTCTTGACGGAATGAGTGAAGGAGATGCGGTGGTGCTGTATACAGAGACGATCACTGAGGGGACTTGATAACAGCATTCATCAACCGGTGTGGTCGAACGAGCTATAGAGCGTGGGAGGGTTAAGTCAACTATTCTAATCTTGAATCGAGGTATGACTCGTATCTTATCAGGTTGTGTGAATCGAGGTATAGCTAATATCTTATTTGTGTAGCCCAAGCAGACATGTGTCGATTGAATTGGAATCGATCATTATATAGAACAGAGTGCGCAATCGGATGATGGAGGGCCATGCAACGGACAAACGTATACATGATGCTGTATGGATTTGCGAGCATATCTATACTCACACACAATCAAACTAATGTTTGAGATGTTTTATCGACCTCCTCCGTGGGGAGATGCTGAGAAGTGCTCGATTATCTCTGTGCGGCTATTGGTTCATATTACCAAAGCCTTGAGCAGGCACCCTAATATAGAACTTCTTCTAAGCTCTTATAATGGACAGTCTAACACACTGTGCGGCTATTGGTTGTTATTACCAAAGCCTTGAGCAGGCACCCTAATAAAGCGCTTCTTCTAAGCTCTTATAATGGACAGTCTAACACTCCGTGCGGCAATTGGTTCATCTGTCGTATACATTCCCTCGGCGTTTGCATTGGTATATTGAAGTAAAGGAATGCGTGTCTTATTATGATTTTGTCCGCGTGCTTTCGTCCGCACCAGACGTCTTGTCAGTGTCATGCCTCGTTATCATCAGATTGCTCATCATCCCGGTATCGCTGTGTGCCTGTATGTGTCAAGTATATAGTGGACGTCAGAACTACGTCTTGTGTGCCAGTTGACGAACACATCCGTCGTCTGGTACGCAGAGTGCATTTAATGCACCGTAACTAACAACCGTACAACAGCCCACCATATAGAGTTCATCCCGATTAAACTTCATATACGGACACTGAGGATACGTAAACTTTATATACGGTTCATATAAGGAAACTTCAAATACGGGAGCTATACGAATACTTCATGCACGGGAACTTCATATAACGGAAACTTTATGCACGGAAACTTCATATACGAATTCTTCATATACGTAATCTTTATACGGAAACTGAGGATACGGACGACCGGCGCATTTGTTTCAGATTTGTATGATAATCACGTGACATCACAGTTCGACTACGGAAGAATACAAAAGACAGCTTACTCACGAAAGTGTGAGTAATATATCGCTGGTAGATGTCTCGTGCCTACAATACAAAACCCACAGTGGTGTGAGTGACAATACAAAACCCATAGTGGTGTGAGTGACAATACAAACCCACAGTGGTGTAAGTGACAATAGAAATCCCACAATGGCGTGAGTGATATATCACTGGTAGATGACTCGCGCCTACCTCGAAGTGGCAGTGGAAGACCGTCTTGCCGTACGCCCGGGCCGCATACCGAGTCCAAATTCTCAGAGATCCATAAGGTGGTACGATGGCCGTATCTCGCCATCGATTCATGGGTGTGCTCGTATCTGTAATGTAGTCGGTGAACTCGATTTGGTTCTCTAGTGCGGTTCTAACCTCCTTGACTTGGAACGGATTGACATGGATGTGCAGAGGGTGTACGGTTGGCTGTGAGTTAGTGATGACCCACTCTTCCACCTGCAGCCGCTGGGCCATTTGGTCTATGCGATTAACGTTATAGGATTTGTTGTCGATCACGTACTGTTCAAACGGCAGGATGCGCACATCCGTATTCATCGCAAAGTCAATACGTCCCTGTCCCATTATCTCCACATCAGTGATATCCGCCTCGTTCGATCCCCTTTCATTCTTCGCAAACTCCATATCGGTCGACAATACGAACTCCTGTCCGTTGGCTCGGGATTTGGTACAACCTCCAAATAGGCGAGCACTTGGTCGTGTGGCCCTGGTCCATACCACTGCGTTGTACCCAGGCCTGACTGAACAAACTCGTACAACCCAGCCTCAGCAATCTGGATGAGGATCTCCTCTCGCTGAGACGCCATAAGTATCATGTACTGCTTAGTGTATGCCCTCGCCCATGTGCGACCATCCGAGCCTACATTGTATAGCGGAACTATCACTTTGGACTGGGTGTGTCGGAGCCTAAAGCCACACATGTTCTCAGACGCCCCACACAAGAGTCTTATCCTCATGACTTGTGAAGTGTTCATTGAAAGCGTTGGCTGGAACTCATTATTTACCATGACGAAGATATGCTCCGCCTGTCCCGCTTGGTTCCTTAAGAAGTCATCGGTCTCTACCAGTGTGGACTCATCACCACTACCCCGTCGACCCTCCCACTCGGTGTGGTTCTTGGCCCTGTGCACGTGTGCATCCCACATGAAGAAAGGCTGGTCAATGTGTGGCGTATTATTCTTAGTCATGTCTGCGAGGTCGTCGTCCAGTCCACCTGTGACCAGGAATGGGCCCCACATGCCATTCCAGGTTTGCATGCCTGTCGCTCCGTGGCGGTGTGGGTGGTAGTAGTATGTACCCGTGGGGTGCGTTGTGGGTAGGCGGAATCTGTAACAGTAGCACTCGTCTACATCTAGTGATATCCAGGGTGCGTCAGACTTACTGGTGCCCTGGGGATGGAACAAGTGTGTCTCCACCTCCAAACCGTGCAGGTGCAGATTCAGAAGATCGTAGTTATGAGGCATGTTCTCCTTATCTATGGTGAAATCAGTTGCCAGTGTAACCGGCCTACCGTGGTGGGGTATGTTTGGAAGCTTAAGGTCACTATCCACCATGTATGTCTGAGCGGTGGGGATTGTATCATGCAGGTGTTTTGTGGCTTCTTCCATATTGTTGATTATCTTTATAGCCATGCTCTGTCCGGGTTTGGCCTGCAGACAGGGGCTACATTACCCTTTGTGCCGCTCCAGGGCTTACCTGTTGCATCCATTGTGCAGAGTGGGGATGTACTGCCGCCATCCTCCCATGTCCGTGTGCGATATGTAGCACCCCCATTCGCATACACAAAGTCTCCACTTTTGCCTGGAATTCGTTTACTTCCGTGAATGTACCATTCAGCAACCGTCGCTTTCAACACATAGTTTACATCTGCTCCACCACACTCCATATCACAACCATATCCAGTGCCTGGCACCCCATCTCGATTGGTCTCTGCATCACTATTGGTACTTGTGGCAATTGTGTATCCATTTTGTAAGAGCAGACACACTACACCTAAGAGCAGTACAATGCGAAGCATCTTTAATGGGTCGTTGGAGGTATCAGTCCGACGATTAATACCTGACGGACCAGGCAGCTAGAAAGATTTGGAGGTTCTTTACAAGTAATGTCGGTGAAACGAACTAAACCCCACGATAAGTTACCAGGGGGTATTGCTTCTAGTGATGCATTGTCTAACCTCGACACATCCTCTTGTCATGAGTCCAGCAAAGGATACAAACCCTCAAACGTCCTCACAATAACATCATGTTTGCACTTTCCACTGTACTGGTGGTATTTTAGGAAAAAGTAAGTTCACAGACATAACGTAACCCTAGAAACTCAACTTCTCATCTGATAAATTCATAGAGTCGGCAAAACATCCATAGAGCAAAAATGAAAACAAAACATTTTAAATTTTAATGTTTTATATATACGATGATAGTATCGTGGGACCATCTGCCGCGTGGCTCAGTTGGTAGTAGCGCAAGACTGTTAATCTTGAGGCCAAGGGTTCGATCCCCTTCGTAGCAACTAATTTTTGTCTATCGTGGTATTTTCAATCCGTGTCAATGGCAGTTTGATTTCGAGGTTTACAATTAGCTTTACACAACTAAATAGAACATGCGATAAGTTGAAATAAAAACGGTTAAAGGAATGCCAATTCGATCGATTTA